GGAGCCATTGTAGATAGATCAGGATCCAGCTCAAAGGGCTACAGTGGCAGGGACAGAAGCAAGGCAGGGGTGTGGTGGAAAAGGAGAATGCATCTGTACGGTTCTCACTCGCAGGGCCTAACCCTGACAGCGCCTAGAAACCCAGCTCTATCCCAGCAAGTGTTTCAGGAACCTGGGCCCCTGGGAGGTCGGAATGGCGAATAGGAGCAGAGGGGAGGAGGAAGCCTGGGGTTAAGTGAGGAGTCATCTTGCTCCCTTGGGCAGCATACTTGTCTCCTGTGTGTAGCTTATGAACACACAGATACATGAAGGCACACAGTCACATACCAGACACAGACACATGATCACACAAGCACACACATGCAAGGACTCACACATATGTACACCACGCCTCATGGACACAATCAGACAGTCACACAACCACGGGCAGTGACCCTGACTTACAAATACACACCAGTCACAGCGCATGCACTCTCACACGGAACCCGAGGACTGTTCCCAGGAGGCCTCCGCCTGTGAGCGTCACTCAGGCAGGGAAGGGTGGGAAGTGTCCTCACGTGTCTTTATTGCCATTGTCTGGAAGAGGAAGTTGTCTCTTCAGCCTCGTGGGAGCGGCGTTGTGAGGGGTGCCATTCACCCACAGTTACGTCAGCTCAGGCCCGTGCTGGGGAAGGGTGAGGTGGGATGGGCTGTGGTAACTGGCCCTGAGGGAGGTCAAGGGCAACCGGGGAGTGTTGTAGAAGAAGGGGTATGCCTCAGTGGGAAGAGCAGACAGGAGGGAGGCAGACCTGGGTGCCTGCCCTCTTGGCAACCTCTCAATGGCTGTCACCTTGGGCAAATGACTTTACCTCTTTGCATGGTAACGGCCAGCAGTAAAAGGCAAATAATAACACCAGTCTCACAGGACAGTTAAGAGTGCTGAGGTAATGACTGTGCAGAGGGCCTGGCCAATAGCGGCAACAGTCACAATGTGGGTGATGGCTGCAGGAGTCGGTGTGCGTGTGTGGGACGCCAAGGCCCACTGAGGCTGAGGCTGAGGCTGAGGCTGAGGCAGGGCTGGGAGGGCAAGGGTAAGCAAGGCCAGTCCCAGAATCAACTGGTCCCAGAACAGCAGCGCCTCCGGAGACTCAGAATTTGGGGTTGATGGTGGGGTGACCTTCCCCACCCTAATCTTGCAGTCGGGGGGCAGTGGGCATCAGGAGGGCTGGCTGGGCAGCAGGCTCAGACATAGCTCTGAAGCGGGCCCCACCAATATGTTTATTGCTGAGATCAGAGGAGCTCTCCAGCAAGCTCCGATCCATAAGAAGATTCTGAGGGCTGGCCACTGCGGGTACCTACCACCCAACTCCTGCTGCAGAGAAAGGGAGCATAGCCCCAAGGATAAAGGAAACAGGAAAGGTACACAGCTGGCCCAGTAGCTCTTCGCCCTCTGGTGGCCTCCAGTGCTCACTGCAGCCTCATTGCTTTGGTCAAGGCAGCGATTTTCAACCTTTTTCATCTCACAACACATATAAACTAATTATTAAAGTCCTGTGACACACTGCCGGGATCCAATTCCAGCATGTCATAATTTCAAGAGTTTCATCAAAAGGTTGATGAGACTTGGGGACTCAACAGGGTTGAGTCACACATGTAGTCACCTGTTGGGAATGGCTAAAGGCATTTCCCCAAACCTGAATAGGAAACTGATTGTGGCTGCCAGACAGTTAAAGGGCATCTTAATCTACATGTTATTGCCTCCTACTGGCCAAACACCTGTACAGCCGTAGGCTAATTCCCCCAAACTGTCAATGCTTCTGTACCCTTTGAAACCTTACCCTTTGAAGTGTATTATCTCCACCTTGCCTTAGGACAAATTGTGTTAATAAAAGCAAGGGTCCTAGACAAGGAGGGAATCTTCAGTTCCATTAGCTGAAGGTCCTCTGACCCCCAATGCCTTTCAAAATTATATCTCATCTCCAGATTCTTTATTAGACTCTGGATTCCTATATCATCTACGCACAGCGCCTTTTCCAGATTCCTGAACCCTTCTTGATGCTGGGACAAGAACCCCGGCAACACACCAAAAATATATTTTTTTGAAGATCTGACAAAAAAACAGGTATAATTTTGATTCACTCACACCAGATGGCTATTGTTGTGTTGGCTGTTGTCATTTTTTTTGACAATGTAAAGGAAAAGAGGTCCGTGCCCCTCAAGTCAGGTATTGCATGCTTTAAAAATTCTTGCAGCACCGGTTGAAAATCGCTGGTCTAAGGCCCTACTTTGGCCCAGTAGCTGAGGTAATAGCGGCAAGGAACTGCCGACATAGCGTGGAGAATAGTGTAGACACTGATGCTGGAAGGCCAGGGTGTGAAATCCCCGTCCTACTGCTGCTACTATTATTTCTACCACTTACGAGCGGGGTGACCCTGGGCAAGTGACTTCATTTCTTTGTAGCTCAGACTCTTCATTTGCAAAACGAGGTTGATAATAATAGTATCTACTACACAGTTGTTTTGAAGAGTAAATGTGATCATCCACATGAAGGGCTTGGAATAAGTAAATTAAGTAACAAGTAATAAACGGTAGTGAGCTGTCCCATTCTGTACTCCTGGGCTCAGCATGGCTGAGGGGCACTGCTTGAGTTGGGAGTCAGAAACAGCCCTGATCTGGGGCTGAACTGAATTCTGGCCCTGGTGCAGCCACTTACCAAGTTTGCACTTTGCATGTTGACTGGTCACATGCCACATGGAAGGAGAGACCCCGGAGGTAAGTTAAAAAGCACTCCTGAAATCCTTTAGGAAGCACCATGTTGGGGATAAACCTGCCATGTTTCAAAGCCCGGCATGGCCAGTTTTTCTAATTCTTGGTTATAGTCTGTCTTTCAAGGAGCTGGCTTGCATGCAAGGGTGGTGCACAGAGCACATGTACCTTTGCTCACTGCACATACTCAGTGGTGAGGTGCTCAACAGAAAGGTACATGGAAGCAGTACCTGTTAGGATCTCAGGTTCGAATCTCCCATCTCACATTCGCTGAGGGGCACATGTTCATCACAGGCCGGTACTCACTACATTACTTAAGATTTCCATTCTCTCTCTGTTTGGCCAAGTGTGTGTAACTAAAGTTGTGTGCTTTAAGTGAATGCATTCAGGACGCAGCTGAATTGAGACTTACCTCCCTGAAGTGTTTCTTCTGTAAAATGGGGTAATAACAGTATACTACAGTGTCAGGTTCTTGTGTACATCAAGTATGACAATGTGTGTAAGAACTTTAAATGCTTTTCAGGTAAATGACGTCTCCACTCCTCCCCTTCCCTCAGTGTCCCCCTAATTGGCTGTCTGACTTTGAGCTAGTCATTCCTTCTCTGGGCCTCAAGACTCTTAACAGCAAAATGTGGGGGTTGTATTAGATGATTTCCAGAGCCCCTTCTAGCTTGAAACTTTCAAGATAGTCTTGCAATTCTAAGGCATTTAGATTGCAGTCAACCTAAATGCTGAGGTTTACATGGCTTTTCCAGGGCTGCTTTATCAAGTGGTAAGGATTCATCTAAATATAGCAGCCCTTCGCACACTGTAACATGCTAAAGCCTTGAGAATAAAACATGCATCTTCATGATCAGTCAGTCCACAGTGACCACATTTACCTATGCCCTTACCACAGTCCTTCAGACGCACTGCTGATGACCACGATTCACCTGCGATGGGAGAACACAGAGTTCCCCCCTGCAAGAGACACACACTGGGCAGGTAGGCACTCTCCCGGGCTTTGGGAAAATTCCATTTTGGAGGGAAGCAGGGTAAAGGGAAATGAACTTCAGAGTGAGGCCCCTGTATGTAAAATTGCAGTAGATAACTTTCCTGGCAGCATTGTCTGGGTTCCGTTAGAAGTAACACGCAGCCTTGGGCAGGATCATGGATTGGCGGGAAGCACTCACTGTGAGACAGACGGCAGCTTCAAGTCCACTGCCACCGTGTGAGTCTCCCCACTGCTTAGCCTATTTCCACATCAGTCAGGGGATTTGGATGCCACTTCTCATGGGATTTCTGTGTTTGGTTGCTTACTAGCAATCCATCACTTCTCCCGCTTCAATCCCTCGCCCCCACCCACCCTGCTCATCTAGCTTCCATGCCTGGCTCAGAGCAGTGGGATTCATGGGAACACCTTCTCCCTTCTGTCTGGAACCCTTTGAAGACTCAACTTAAATGCCCGTGTCCACACTGAGGCTCTCCTAAACCACTGCCCCAGCCCTGCATGGCCTAAGTCCTCATCACCAAAGCCTTGCCTTGCCAGGGCATACCTCCAGAGTAGCCTTCCTTGGGTTGGCATTTGCTACCTGAATGGGTAAGTCTGTATCCCCTAAAGACAGAATGGTCTCATCTCTGAATTTCTCATGGGAAGGTCTGGTGTAGTATGTGCTCCACTTTCAACCTTTGGAAATAACTCTCTGGAAAGGCTGTGCTGGGGGCAAGACTGAGGACAAGGGGAAGACTAGGGATAAGGAGTTACCTTGGATGTAACAGGATGGTGTAAAAGAAAATGACAATGGAGTCAAATGACCTGGATTCGAACCTCAACTCTGCCACTTTCCAACAAAGAATCTGGGTAAGCCACTAGACCACTGAGTTTTCCCCCACACTATAGGATGAGGATAACAATATCTATTTAGCACAGCACCTGGCACATACTAGTACTTTTTTATGTCCCAGGTGCTGCTCCAAATATTTAAATGTGTTAAATTAATTTAATTTCACTACAACTCTAGGAGGCATTATTCTCATTTATAGGCACTGTAAATGAGGAAAATGAAGACAGTGAAGGTCAGAGAAATTAAATAACTTCCTCAAGTTCACAGAGCAAGTGAGATGTTCAGTAAATGGCAGCAATGACTGTTCTGAGGCAGCAATACATGGGACAGAGTCTCTGAGACACCAATTATGGACTGAGGGGTTTCTGCATCTGGACTAGCTCCAACCTTATCCCCTTAATTGTAGCAAATTACATAGACGAGTCAGTGTTATAGAGTTAACATTATATATTTATTTTAAGTGCCATTCATGCATATCAATTCTGGCAGCAACAATTCTAATGACACTTGGGATATTTCTTTACAGCACTAAACAGTTACAAAGAATGGGGTGCCGTTCATCATACGGGCAAAATATGAAATCGTGCAATAGCAAAACTGTAGAAACATTAAAACACTGACTGTCCAACAGCAGTACAGAGAGCAGATTGTGTTTGCACAAAAAGCCAATGCATTTTCATCACATATATACAATATAGATATGTACACATCACCCTCTGAATGAACAATATCAAAATACTCTATTCCATTTGAAATAATCCCGATTGATTCCCTCCCACTTCAAAGGACATCTGAGAGACACGTATTTACAAGTACACACATGAATACATTTACATTTCAAAAACTACCACAAATGCCAGTCGGATTATTCTCCTGGACAGAGTACTCCCATTTGATTATATGCATTTATTATTCTTTCCCCCAAAAGTCTTCAGTCAATTTAAGCCCAAGACAGAACTTACTCTGAATTAATAACTACCAACTGAAATGGCCACTAGAGGGATGCTCTGCACCTCACCAGGTAGCCCTGCCAGGCCTGGAGCCCGCTGAGGCCTGTCCTGGGCTCCCAGGTCACTGAATCACAAGAGTGGGATGGGTCTGGATGGAGGCTCTGCCTCCAGTGCCATTCTTGGTAAGTTTAAATTCTTATAAAAATATTGATCACTGCAAATCAGATTGCCAAATAGGAAATTAGCTTCACACGATTTGAAAAATCTTCATCAGTGGTTTCTACTCAAATCATTCAATATAAGAGACTGCATTCCAATACCCAAATTGTTTAAAGTGCATTTTGCTCCCCAAGCAATTAGAAGTTTCAAAACAGTCATTTTGGTATCTAGAAAACAGTGACTTGAACAGACTATTTAAAATCTCTCACACACACCCCTTTATCAAGCGTTTACTCTGCAGGCTGCTATCTCATCTTGCCTCTGATCTATCTAAGAGGGGCCTGTTGGCTGCCTTGCCAGAATCCTCTGATTTCCACTGATCCAAGGGGCTGGAACTGAGCTTCCTTTTTCATGCCAAGTAGGGTCCAAAAAACAGGAACATAAAGGCCTTCCTTTCTCCCCAACCTCACCAGCCTTTACCATGGCTGGCTTCCCAGTGATTCACTCAAGGCAACACTCCATAAAAAAAACACACACAAAAAAACCCCCCATACTTTGTTCAAATACTCTCACATACACACATATAGAAACAAAGATGTATGTTCAGTTCAAGTAGAGATTACTCATCACAGAATCACTAAGCTAATTAAAGTGATTTAAGCATGGCTGACAGAGATTATAGATGCTAAAAAGCAACCAGTGAGCAGTTATTACTCCTTGATTTGATGGAACATATTTTCCCATTAGAACTGAAAGAAATTCTGCTTTTTTTTTTTTGTCTAAGGAACCAATCAAAACCTATTCATTTTTAAAAATCTCATTTCTTTTAGAAAACTAAGACAATCCATGCAAAGTAACTGTGATATATGAATCAAAACAATAAACAAACAATGACTAAGAAAAGCCCCTAAGAGGCTGGTTGCATTTCCAAGACAGTATCCAAATGCCATGCAACCCCAGAAACACAGGACAGCAGACACAGCAGGCCACTAACAATAAGTGTCTCTCCATCCTCCTGTCAGTGTTTCCTAAATGGAAAGAGAGTGAATGAGAACACTTGCTTTATAAACAATGCCCTGCCGTTTGTTGCCCAAATGAATGGATTCAAATTCTAGAAAGAATCCTATTTAGCTAATAAGTTTCAATCAGCAGGAATGCTAAGACAGAGAAATATGCTCACATGGTATGAGGAGTGATGGTCACAAGAATAACACAATCTCTGATTGTCTTATCTGCAAACTCTTATCAAGAAAAATATTTCTGTGCTTTCAGATACCCCATTTCTCCTTAACAAATCCAATTAGAGCTGAGCATTCACAGAAGGTAGCAATAAATATTAAAATAACACTTTGAATAATAAATAAGTGGAGATCGAGATCTGTTTAAAGAGCCAAGCAATGACCAGCTTCTAATCAATCAAATAAATTTTAGAGCTATTATAATGCAGACTTAGGAAAACAGACACTGACAAGGTACAACATAAACTCTACAATCCCCAAGCATCAAAACAAATTTGGTCAGTTCTCAACGTGCCCCTCTGGACTGTCAGAGTATCAAACTCTGGGTTTTTTACTTACTGGGTAGAACTCAATACCCACATTTCTGAAAAGATTAAATAAAGGGAACTGGGCTTTAAAAAAAACCTATTTCCTTTCAGTTGCCCACATCAGTTAAAAGCATCCTGCAGAAAATAGCCTAACAAGGAATAAAAACTCACAGTAACTTTCTTTTCAAGATCTAATAATCCAATCAGAAAAAATTGAAGCCTTTCAGTAAATTTTGTACATATATTTACACACATGTATCTATAAACTGCTTGCAGCAAAACAGGCTCTGTCTGAAAAATCAGTCTGGCACTTGTGGTCAACATCAAATTGACACAAATATGCAAAAGCTGTTTAAATCACACAACAGTTAGGAGCTACACAGGAGAGCTGGCAGGAGACAAACATGTAGTACTTGTTTGGGTCAGATAAAAGCAAAGTTATCCAGCTAAAATCTTTTTGATTGTCTTCAAAAGAAATTTTTATAACATTGGTAAAGTGATTAGCAACTTTGTTTTTTCAACTGGATTCTCTTAAACCTTTCCCTTCACTGCACAGAAAGGTGACGCTGGGGTGCGGTCTTGCAGAAACAAGCTCTACACAATTGAATCCCAATCAAAGTCATCCTGGATGTCATCTGGAGGCAGAGAGCGCCGCATCTGGAAGGCTTGGGAAGGCATCATGTGCTGCTGGTTCATAGCTCCGTGGTGGCCTGGAAGGAAGCAGGCAATGTCAGTAGTGACACAGTACTGAAGAAAGGAAGAAGTAAGCGAAAACCTACCGAGCACTTCCCATATGCCAGATGCTCAGACACATTATCTCACTAAAACACCCAGAAGCCTTCTACGAGGTGTCTCTTATAATTTCATTTTATAGATAAAAGAGACTGGGTTTAGGAGAATGAGCAAGTCACCCAAAGTCATACAACTAGTAAGGAGAAGAAACAGGATCTGAACTCAGTTCACTTGACTCCAAAACCAACACTCTTTCCATTACACCAGGCTGCAGCAAGGAAGGCATGAAAGGAATGGTGGAGTGCTCAGTGCTGATACAGCCATTTCCCTCACAGTCTGTTCTGTTCTGGTAAGTTTCAGTAAGATGAGTTGGCTCACTTGGGAATGGTAAATAGGAGAATAATGTTAGTATACCACCGAAGTCACATTGTGTCAGTTTATTTCCTCAGCAAGTTAATTTTTGTGCCACCAAGTAACAGCAGGTGAACACAGAGGACATGCACACGGCTGGGTGCAGTAAGCCCGGAGGACACCGCAGATACACATGCCTATTCTCCCCATGCTCCTCTTCTTGGATCAGTGTGGCCATGCACTATTTGTGCTCCCCAATTTGGTGCATTCTGCCTTTATCTCCATAGCTTTGACAAACTGCCTTCCAAACCAGATTCTTTCTTTAAAAATAATTTTTATTTATTTGTAGAATTTATTCTTTTACTAGGAATTAAACATGTTCTTTAACTGTTGTGGAATTTTTTTAAATATATTTTTTATTGACTACAGAAAAGAAGGGAGAGGGAGAGAGAGAGAAACATCAATGATGAGAGAGAATCATTGATTGGCTGCCTCCTGCACACCCTCTACTGGGAATTGAGCCCATAACCCGGTAAGTGCCTTTGACCAGAATCGAACCTGGGACCCTTCAGTCCCCAGGCCAACACTCTATCTACTGAGCCAAATCAGCTAGGGCTGTTGTGGAATTTGTACTGATTATAGTTTTTGTTAGTATTCTGAATACAAAGTTTCAAGAAATCTGCTGCTAATCTTATTTTTCTCTTAAGCCCTGTAACTTTTAATGTACAATTTTATAAAATGCTAAGGTTTTCAGTATATCACAGGATAGCAGAAATGCCTGTATTTATTTATTTTTAGTGTATAAATTTCTTACTATCTGCCAGGCACTAATATATAAGTGATTTACATACAATCCTCATTTAATTCTCTTAACAAGGTTAGGGGTTAGGTAGTGTTATTAGCCCCCTTTTACTGATAGGGAAGCTGAGAGAGGAGAGTTAGGCAGCTATCAAGTGTCAAAGCACCAGGGACTCAAACCCTAGGGATCTAGCTCCAGAGTCTTAACTACCTTATCTTACCACCTACAAGTTACTGGTGAGCATTGAGGACAGGGAACACATGTCACTTAGTCCCAATTCCTCTTTCACTGTTGCCTGGCACACAGTCCTTTTGGGGTTTGAAACCCACCCCTCCACATTACCATTTATCTTTTCCTCAAGTAGTCTAAGTAAAGGGGTGTGTGGCATATAAGAAAAATCATGAACTCTGAATCCAGACATCAAAGCTTGAGTCTTGGTTTGGCCATTTGCCAAACTGGTGGCTCTAGGCAAGATATTTCCCCTTCTGAGCCTCCATTTCCCCATCTAGATAATCCTTAAGACCCTTTCTACCTCTAAGATTGTGCCTCTACTGCCCCGATAAACATAACATCCTACATTCAGGAACTTAGGGGGAAAAATTTATGGACTAGTAACTTCTGAAACTTATGTCCTCTGTAAGGTACTTCCCTGGAAACTACAGCTGGGGGAACTTCATCAGAATGAATATATAGGAGCTAATCAAAGTAGGTTCTTAAAACTTGAAGTCTATCAAAGTCAAATAGCTTCAAAGAGACTTAAGACACCAGGACACACTTTATGCCCCAACCTCTTAGAGAGACAGGACAATACTAGAATCATAGATAGCATCATGGGCTAAACGAGACTTCAGGTCATATGGTCCAAACACCGAACGACACCTAAATCCTTTCACCAGCACTGGAGCCAAGTAGCTCTCCAGATTTGTGCACCCCGCCCACTTTAGCACAGAGCTCATTCCCTCTAAAGGCAGCCTCACTCACTGTTAGGACAGCTCAAGCTTTTCAATATTAAATTATGAGTACTAACTGCAACACACCACATCCCAAAGTACCTGTAATCGTTGTTCCTGGAGTGCTGAGTGCCTGTGGGATATGAGGATAACCAGGAGGTGGCATCACTGAAGGAGGGAGACTTTGCCTGGAGTCTATGTACAAATTTCCTAATCAGATTTTAAAAAAGAAAAAAAAATATTACCGTAAGTAAAACAAATCAAGCATTAAAATTTTAATAGAATTGCTACCTAAAACTAAATTAAGCTGGTAAGGTGAGGAAGAAAAGGGAAGGAAAACTTACTCCTTTCAGATGCTAAACCTGCTAGGGTGGTGCTAGCTTTTTTAACACAATGCCAGGGCTGGGTGTGAGTCCACTGGTACTAATTCTGGCACTGCATCTAATTCTCTGTAGCTTGTAGACAAGTTATACTTATTATTGTTGTTACATACCTCATTACAGTACAAAGGCATTTTCATCACTTCATCTTAGCGTCCCACTAAGCCCACATGAGGGTAAGTGGAGACAGGGATTATCTCCATTTTATGGATGAGGCAACTGAGGCTCGGAAAGGCTAAGCTGACTTGTCCAAAGACACATCAGTCTGGCAAGGCTGGGCTAGAATCCAGTTCTCCTGACTCACGGGCTCTTTCTACGAACAGTTGTCTCTATATCGCCCCGATTTTCTCACCCTCAAAACAGACCTATGGGTGCCCTCGCTGCTTAACAAAGTTACTGGAGGCACAAAGTTACAGGAAAGATTTGCACAAAGTAGAAGAGCTATAACAGGCAAACATGATTAAAAATGTATTATTTAGGTGTGTGGAGATGGGAAACATAGACCTCATTTAAGTGGCATTTCAGAAGGTTCTTAATATATTTTTCTTGACAGGAACTATCAAGTATAATAGCTCTAAAATGTCAATTATGTTGCATCCTAATGCAAAATAGAAAGGGAGGGGAATAACGTCATGTGCCCTCCCCCATTAACTCCTGGGGAAGAAAACCATACACTGCTCACATTGTGCAGAGCATCTGGAATTCCGGAAAAGGAGTTTCCCTACTGTATTCTAGTGTTTCACACAAATTACATGTGTATTCTAGCAATGCTGTGGTCAACTAGAAAAGAGCAACCATTTCCCAGAGGAAACTAAAGGAAAGAAAAATTTTCCTTTTGTATTCAAGGTAGGGCACACTATTTGGCCACTCACAAGTATTTGCCTGCCCCTGGAAAGTCAGACTGACCAAGCTTGAGGTGGTAGCCTCAGAGATAATATAATCCAGCCCTATCTCTGTTCTTGTGGATGAGGAAATGAGCCCAGAGAAAAATGACAGAACCAGGAACAGAACACAAGACTTGACTTCTAGCCATTCCCTCCTAAGATGACATGCTTTTTTTATAGTAAAGTTTAGAGTCAGAACTGAGCTCTCTCACCAATTTGAACATGCTGAAGATTTAGGAATAAAAAAGAGGAGAAAGTTATACTATATTGCAGCTCTAGTAAATTCTTATGGGGGGTTGGGGAGCTGATCAATCTTCACATGCATGGCTGGTACACCTTCTAAAGGATGCACCAGGCGCCAGGCTAAGGGGCCACAGCACTCTGAACAATAGTCACTCATTTACCAATGACTTAGCCTCTGTCCTGAACAATCTTACCTCTCTTTTACTCGTCCTTAGGAGCTCAAATCACAATCAACAGAGAAATTCTGATTTTTATTTTTAAGATCAATCTATTTTTATATTTCATTTTTACATTTCTCTTTTTTGGCTTAGTAGTTCTTACCTTAAAATGGGAAAGGGGGTGGGAATTAAGAGAGGAATTCTGGCAATAAACAAGGATTATGGAATAGATAGATACCCACATTAAACAAATAGACTTAACTTTCTGAAATTAATACATTCCTAACACTTTAACTTTCAGAGAGAAATTTTCATTACTCCTCATTTTCCCCATGTTCTCATTACAGTGTGAACAACTTCCTAAGCAAGAAATTAACTTCCAATGCAGTTTCCAAAAATTTGAGATCCTTTAACATTTAGAATGTAGTTATGAGAATTAAAAAAATCTAATCACACAATATATTTATTTATTGAAAGCAGACATCTGTTGAATGACCAGTCATTCTAGAAATATTATGTGCCAGGCCCTGCTTTAGCTACTAGAGATACAGAAATGAAAAAAACAAACTCCCTGTCTTTTTGGAGCTTATTCTTGGTGGAGGTGGAGAGGGAGGCAAACAAAGTTAAATTAAATAGTATGCTACGGAGAAAAATAAAGCAGGGAAGAGTGGACAAGGATTGATGGACAGGAGCTGTCATTTAAATAGGATGGTCAGGGAAGACATCAATTGAGTAGGTACTCTTTGAGAAGAAACGTGAATAACATGAGGACATGACTCAGGGGTCTACTGGGGCAAGACCACTCCAGACAGATAAAAAAGCAAGTACAAAGGCCCTGAGGTATGTTCAAAGAACAGCAGGGAGTCTAGTGAGGGTGGGGAGGTGAGAGTAATGGGGAACCAGATTTTGTAGGGCCATGCAAGCTATAGTAAAGACTTTGTTTTTTACTGAAGAAAAAGAAAATGTACACCGATGGAAGGTTTTGAGCAGGGAAGTTAAGTGATCAGATTTCTCTGTCTGATAAAATCCCACTTATCCTGCAAAGTCCAGCTTAAATATACCTTCTTCCATAAAGCGTTTCTATCTGCCAAAGACAGTTAAGCAAGCCCCTTTGTCTTATTCCCACTGCCCTATGGTAGAAGTATAGTCCTCATCATACTGTTTTTATTATTATTATTATTTATTTATTTTTATTTATTTAAATCCAAAATCGAACCTGGAACCCTTCAGTCCACAGGCTGATGCTCTATCCACTGAGCCAAACCAGCTAGGACAGTATTTTTTTTAATTTTATTTTTTTTAATAAACCTGTCTCACCTATCAGGCTGGGAGCTCCTTGAGATTAAGGCCTATTTTAAAGTCACTTCTTTATTCATAGTGCCCAATAGATAGTCAGGTACAGGAAATTATAAATAAACTAGTGGCCCAATGCACAAAATTCGTGCACGGGGGGGGGGGGGGGGGGGGGTTCCCCCAGCCCAGCCTGCACCCTCCCCAATCTGGGACCCCTCGAGGGATTGAGAAATACCCTAAATGATGTCCGACTGCCCATTTAGGTCCGATCCCAGTGTGTCTGTCTGATCGCCCCTAACTGCCTCTGCCTGCCTGCCTGATCGCCCCTAACTGCTCCCCCTGCCAGCCTGATCTCACCCCCAACTGCTTTCCCCTGCTGATCTGATCTCACCCCCAAATGTCCTCCCCTGCCAGCCTGGTTGCCCCCAACTGCCCCCCCTGCCGGCCTGATCTCGCTCCCAATGGCCCTCCCCTGCTGGCCCGATCTCGCCCCCAACTGCTCTCCCCTGCCAGCCTCATCGCCCCTAATTGCCCTCCCCCGCTGGCCTGATCGCCCCTAACTGCCCTCCCCTTCCGGCCTGATCTTGCCCCCAACTGCCCTCTCTGCCTCGGCCCCCACCATCATGGCTTTGTCTGGAAGGAAGTCGGACGTCCGGAAGATGGCCAGTCAACCCGGTCTAATTAGCATATTACCCTTTTATTAGTATAGATAGATTATATAGGATAGGATTGCTTAAATGGGGGGGGAGCCTTTTTCAGCAGAAGGAGATGCTCTTGGCAGACAAAAATACATAATCCCTCTATCTGGACTGATAGCCACCCATATGCACTATAGTGCCAATCCCGTCTTTAAAAAATTGAACCGCTTTCTTACACCTTACACCAAACAGCTGTTGCCCTTAAAACCCCTCCTCAGCCCCCATCTTAGCCTTCGCAGTTCACCCAGATTAGGTTCTGGGTGGTCGGTTTATATGCCAGTCAGCGTCAAAAGCTCCGCCTCCTAGGCAGCCATTGCCTCCTCACACTTCACCCAGATTTGGTTCTGATTGGTCTGTTTCTATGCCAGTCAGCATCTCCGGGCCTATCTCTGGGCCTGGTCAGAGAGGCAGGGCTGATCAGCAGGCCCCGCAGAGGCCCGGAGAGAAACAGAGGCACCGCTGCTGGTGAAGCCCGGAGAGAAAGAGAGAGGCAATGGCTGATCAACAGCTGCCACGGAGGCTGCGGATCAGACCTTGCCTCTCTCTTCAGGCCTCTCTCCAGGCCTGATCTGCAGCTCTCTCAACTGCAGGACTGACTTCCGTTCGGTCAAGCCTTTGGTCATTATGGACCCTCAGTTTTTATATATTAGGATATTAGCAAATGAATTCAATACCATATTAGAGGATTATATACTATGACTAAGAGAGATTTATTCCTGGAATGCAAGGAGATTCAACATATGAAAATTAATATAATACACCACACTAATAGAAGGGAAAAAAAACACATGATCATCCCAATTGATGCAGCAAAAGTATTTGACAAAAGTCAATACCCTTTCATGAATAAAGTAGGAATTGAAGGAAACTACTTAAACATAATAAAAGCTACATATAAAAATCCCATAGTGAATATCATATTCAATGGTGAAAGACTGAAAGCTTTTCCTCTAAGATCAGGAACAAGCAATGATCTGCTTCTGGGTATATATCCAAAAGAAATGAAAGCAGGGTCTTTTTTTTTTAATATATATATATTTTTATTTCAGAGAGGAAGAGAGAGGGGGGCAGAGATAGAAACATCAATGATGAGAGAGAATCATTGATTGGCTGCCTTCTGCATGCCCCACACTGGGGACCAAGACTACAACCCAGGCATGTGCCCTGACGGGAATCAAACTGTGACCTCCTGGTTCATAGGTCAACAACACTCAACCACTGAGCCACGCCAGCTGGGCTGAAAGCAGCGTCTTAAAGAGATATTCGTAGACCCATGTATTATCCACAATAGCTAACACATGAGAGCAACCCAAACTGCCCAATGACAAATGAACAGATAAGCAAAATGTGGTAGATACATACAATGGAATATTATCTAGCCCTAAAAACGAATAAGTCACAAAAAGACAAATACTATATGGTTCCACTCATATAAGGTACTACTTAGTTAAAAATCAGAGGCAGAAAATAGAATGGTAGTTGCCAGAGGCTTGGCAGAGGATAGAACAGGGGAAATGGTGGGGATATTGTTTAATGAGTATAGAGCAGTGGTCGGCAAACTCATTAGTCAACAGAGCCAAATATCAACAGTACAACGATTGAAATTTCTTTTGAGAGCCAAATTTTTTAAACTTAAACTATATAGGTAGGTGCATTGTTATTAACTTAATTAGGGTACTCATAAGGCTTAGGAAGAGCCACACTCAAGGGGCCAAAGAGCCGCATGTGGCTCGCGAGCCGCAGTTTGCCAACCACGGGTATAGAGGGTTTTTAAGATGAAAAGAGTTTTGAAAAATGAGTGGTGGTGATGGTTGCATAACATTATGAATGTATTTAATATCAATACACTATATACTTAAGGATGATTAGGATGGTGAATTTTACATTGTGTGTATTTTACTACAACAAAACATTTTTAGCCCTACCCGATTTGGCTCAGTGGATAGAGTATCAGCCCACAGACTGAAGGGTCGTGGGTTCAATTCCGTTCAAGGGCATATACCTCGGTTGCAGCTTCACCCTGCTCAGGGCACATGCGGCAGGCAACCAATCGATGTGTCTCTCTCACATCAATGTCTCTGTCTCTCCCCATCCTTTCCACTCTCTCTAAAAATCAATGGAAAAATATCCTCAGGTGAGAATTAACAATATATATATAATTTTAAGAATATTAGGAAGATATGTACATATAAAAAAAAAAGACAAAAGGAGTGGGGAGCTAAAGAGTTATCAAAAAATGAAGTTTGTGCCTGGTACATAGAGGACACTCCATAAAGAATAAAGGTTAAAAAGGAAGAAAGTGAGATGAAAAATATAGTGCACAAATTTTGAGTCTAGAGTGAAACATCAATGGCACTACATACCATTTTGTCTACTCTTAAAGCAAACTTTCAAGTTTAATTTTCTTCAACATTCTTAGAAGATATATAAAAATAAGATTTTCATTGCAAGTATATACAAATTTAAGTTGATCTATCTTCATAAGTATATTCTTATAAAATGTACATATCTTGCCCCAGCTGGTTTGGCTCAGTGGATAGAGCGTTGGCCTGTGGACCAAAAGGTCCTGGGTTCGATTCCAGTCAAGGGCACATACCACCTGTGTTGGCTTGATCCCCTGTAGGGGGCATGCAGGAGGCAGCTGATCAATGATTCTCTCTCATCATTGATGTTTCTATCTCTCCCTCTCCTTTCCTCTCTGAAATAAATAAAAAATATATTTTTAAAAAAATGTACATATCTTGAAGACATTTTAATTCTTGTTTGACAACTTAAAAGATCACAAAGGAATGTAAATTGTAAACAATAATATAAATCTTGACCAAAAAATAATTTCATCTTAGTTTTTCTAAGATATACCTTAAATAATTTTATTTCATTCACTTCTTAGAAATTAAAATATAAATGGATCACCATCACCATTAACAATGTAACATGTTGCCTCAGTCACTAAATTTCATATGAATGAGAAAAAGAAAATCCAAGGAAAGATAAACATCACATGATCTCACTCATTTGTGGAATATAATGAACAAAAATAGATCCAGAGATATAGAAGCATTGAACAGACTGTCAAACCTCAGAGGGAAGGCAGGAGAGGGTGGGAGGGGGGAAGGGTAAGAGATCAACCAAGGACTTGTATGTATGCATATAAGCATAACCAATGGACATAGACAGTAGGAAGGTAAGGACATGTGCTGGGGAGTGGGAGCAGCTGGGGAGAGGTCAATGGGAGGAAAAGGAGACATATGTAATACTTTAAACAATAAAGAATTTAAATTTTAAAAAAAGGAGATGAAGTTTAAAAAATAAATAAAAAGAGAAAATCAAGAAGATAACTAAACCCATACCTGTTCCAATGTGTTGGGAGGGTTTTGTTGGATGCATGGCACCATGACAGACATTTTGCTGAACATTACTCTGTGAGTGGATAAGGCCAGTTTGTGTAAAGAATTGATTAAGAGAAGAACAGAGATCAGCAAATTGAACCTGATCTAAAGACCAGTTCTTGAGATCTGCCTGTCTCATACTCTCCATCAAACCTATGAGAAAAACATTGGAAATAAAGTTAGTACAGTTCTATAAATATTGCAAGGAAAATAGCAAGACAATTTTTTTTCAGCCCTCAAAATTTCCACTGGTAGTGATTTTCCCATGCAATGAAGAATAACATTATAAAATTATTCAAAGTCTGATTCTTTTAAATGTGGCCAAATTGTTTTCAGAACTCTTGTCTGTGACCCTCTGTTTCAACTGGCCAAAAGACTTAATTATAAATTTTACAAAGTGTTGTTTATAAGCATACTACCAACAGAAAATAAATAAAACACTATGTAAGGAGATGTTTATTTATATTATAAAGAAACTTATAATCTACTAGAGAAAACAGGATGTTTATTCGGTTATATGTCAAAAAGAACTAATACTCACCTTGGAACTGTGAAAGGTCTACATCTGACCAATTAACACTGCTAGCAATTCGACAGCTTTCTTTTAGCATATCAAGTGTTGCATACCAATCACTTGAAACACCTATAAAAATAATATTGACAATACTATGAATCTTGGATAGTGAAAGTTTGAAGTATATGGTAAGGGGAGACAATGAGTTGACCTTATTCCTGACATTGGCAGATCCCTATCCAGTTTTACAAACAAATTACATCATGTATTGGGGCAATCTGCTCTGTGAGACAGGTAGGAAGGCTATCATTTCTCTCCATTTTACAAATGGAAAAAAAAAAAACTGAACCCAGAGTGGTCAAGGTCACTATAATAAATCGAAGACTTGAACCCAGGGCTTATAAGCTCTAGAAAGCAACCCATGATGGCACTTGAAAACTGTCAATCTTGGTAACTGCTCTTTACATTTGTACAGTACAAATGATGACCAGGCAAGACAAGTCATACAAATCAGTATTTCCCCCAATGTAAAGTTCATTTTCCTGTCTTGTTGTGACCTTCAGAGGTACGTTCTTTATAACTTAAAGGCAGGTACACATTTAGAAGCAATGTGCAGTTTGACTTAAAAAGCACTGACTAAGGGAGGTAAATTAGATTGTACAGCAAGAGATGTTTCTTACAAAGCAACCTTAAGAGTGAGAAATGCCTCAACACAGTTCTCCTGTCAAGGTAGCAAATTCTGTGCTTGCTGTCCAAATTACTCTGTTTTCAGGATCACCCCTGGATAGAAGAACTAACGAATAAAAAGAATTTTTTGCTACATCACAGATAACTGTATCAACTACTGGCTACTTGTTTACAAAATTCTGCCAATTATGGATTTCAAAATAAAATAAACAATGAACCAGAGACAACATGACCCTACCTTCAGGCAACTCATAAGTCAGAAAGAAATTTGTTGGGGGGGGGGATTAAATTAATGCCTCAAGTGAGCCACAAACATTCAAGTCTATCTGACTTTCAGATCCTATAATAAATGCTGACTTGGCAACACAAAATAAAGCAATCTCTGCAGAGAGAGTGGCTGAGCAAATCCCTACCCACTCAGTAAATGTTTATCTTAATCCTTTTAGAATAACTGGTATTACAGGCTCTGAACTCTGATGGGCCAGGATATAAATTCCAGGTCCACTACTTATTAGCAGTATGATCTTGAGCAAATCGATTAACTTCTTTGACTTACACTTCTCCTATCGAATGTGGTAATCTACCCTTGTTTTAAGAGAATATGAGATAATGTATCTAACTTGCCTTGCACATAACAAGCACTCAAACAACTAAGTTCCCTCCATTCCTTCCCTGTAAAAGACAACGTGCTTATTATTCCCATCTTATAAATGAGAAATTTATAATTCAAAGAGACTATTATCACAGCCACAATCTTTCCTAACTCACAAGGTAGAAGTCTATTTTCATCCTCTGGTAAGCTACCACTGGGATAACAGGCCATTAAGGGCACATCATAGGTTGCTTTCAGCTATAATTGTACTTTTTTCTCCCCTGGCAATCATTAGACTTAAAGATCTAAAAATAACTTCAAGATGTTTTATAAGATAGACCATCAAAGCAGGAACTATACCCAATTTTCAATTTTATTCTAGATTTTATTCTACTTAGAATTAGTAACAGAAAACAAAATAAATTGTTAAAGGAAACTCACTAAATTCCAAATACTCTGGTATGCATTTTTTACCTTATATCATTTAACACCCCTCAAAAAACATATTATTTTTCCACATTGTAAATAACAAGATGGTTTTAGAAAAATTTAAGATATAAAGCAAAATCAGAATATAAGAGACAGTATGAACTACCCAGCTCATTTCCCTGACAATAGTTTAACTGCCTGAAACAATGGTCAATTTTTAATTGGTGAATAAGAACTACACTGTCTAGCACTTAGCAATTGTCCCGCCAGGATAAAAAATCTCATCAGTGATATGATTGGTAATTGGACAACCAGGCAAGACAAGAAAAGGACCTGTACTTTGCACAACTCCCAGGGCCCCATTCACCTTGTAGTCTATATCTGTGGCAACCCTTGGAGTTCTTCAGTGCAAAGACTGCTTGGTCTATAAGCAATGTCATGTCAGTTAAGCATCTCACCAGAAACCATCAAGACCTATCTGAAGAGTAACGGATTTTCAAAACATCAGGATATGAAAAATGCTTCTTCCTTTGCAAAATACCATTTCAAAATGAGCTACCTGGCAGGAATTAAGCAAAGAAAGAAATAGTGGAGATATTCACTGAATACTTAAATACAAGGACTAGGCATTTCTTATTTGTATTCTCAATATGATGCTTATAACAACACTGTATGGCAGTGTACTTTATTTTTATAGATGAGAAAACATGACTAAAAGAAGTTAAGAAATGCACCTGAAGTCCTAAGAGTCATAATGAGGATTCAAATCTATGTATGTTCTCTCTTCTATATCACTGAATCCTAAGAGATTGCAGACTGTGCATTTCATTCTTCTTTCAAATACAGCTGACCCTTGAACAACACAGGTTTAAACTGTGTGGGTCTGCTCACATGCTGATTGTTTTCAATAAACATACAATCGATAGTATTTTCAATCCCTAGTTGGGAATCTGCAGTCATGGAGAGCCAACTGTATACACTGTTCTACACCATTTTATATAAGGGACTTAAGCATCCATGGATTTTGGTATACCAAGGGGGTCCTAGAACCAACCCCCTATGCAGTCTGAGGGATGATTGGGAAGTCAAAAGTCATACACAGATTTTCAACTGGTTAAAGTTCCTAACCCTTGCACTGTTAAAGGGTCAATTATACTCACAAAAACACTTATTTTCCAAAAGAACAAGAGATAAAACCATGAAACCTGCAAGAGTTGCTGAATTTGCCTATATTGCCACAATACATTTTAATCAAGAAAATCTCCAGTTCAATCTATGCACTAAATGAGTTACAAATACAGGATTAGAGCAAGGAAACACAAAAGGAGACAGATGAAGAGAGAGTTGGTCATAAATACAGGTAAGTCCCAGATAACAAAGAACAGATAGATCTTAATTCACAATTAGCCAAACAGAGTCAGGAGACAAAAACTTACCAGAATTACAGGATACTTGTTGTGGGGTTGGGGGTGCCTGATGTGTTAACGCCTGATGCTGATGGTTCGAATGATGCTGCATGTGTTGATGTGGAGAGGGGTGTTGGGGATGAGGGGACTGGAGCTGGCTGTGTTGTTGTGGAGAAGGGTGCTGGGGATGAGGGGACTGGAGCTGGCTGTGTTGTTGTGGAGAAGGGTGCTGGGGATGAGGGGACTGGAGCTGGCTGTGTTGTTGTGGAGAAGGGTGCTGGGGATGAGGGGACTGGAGCTGGCTGTGTTGTTGTGGGTGCGATGCTGGATGCTGGGGACGCTGCGGATGCTGTGGTAAACCATGTGGTCGATGGGGTGGATGTGGAGACGGCTGTGTGTGTATCTGGGGGTGGGACAGCGAGACTTGTGCAACCGAATTACTGCCTGTGGTATTGAGGCCACTGCCATGACTGTTGGACAGGTTGCTTTGGTTGCCGTGTGGGTGAGAGCTCACTGTACTGCTAGGAGAGTGCTGATAGGAACACGAAGTATGGGACTGCTGGGAAGATTCAGAAGGGATGTTCATCAAACCTAAAAAGTCAGAAAAAGCAAGCTCACTTATGGTCAGATTGTAGTTATATTTTAGAACAAAGGTTTGTAACATTAGAGAGCAAAGGCATAAGTTGTCAAAAGGCAACTTTGTTTCAGTTTAACAAGTGTTGATGGCTTTGAAAGCCAATAAAAAGCCCCTTGGCGGGAGAAAAAGATGTGTTGATAGAACATCCACCATCCACTGGGCTCTATAACTGAGAATAGTAAGAAACATCATTCCTTGCCCTTGAGTAGCTTATGCTCTAGTTACCATGCTCTACTTACTTATGCTCTTCTACTAGAGCAGTGGTTCTCAACCTTCCTAATGCCGCAACCCTTTAATACAGTTCTTCATGTTGTGGTGACCCCCAACCATAAAATTAATTTCCTTGCTACTTAATAACTGTAATTTTGCTACTGTTATGAATCGTAATGTAGATATCTGATATGCAAGATGTATTTAGGCGACCCCCTGTGAAAGGGTCGTTCGACCCCCAAGGGGGTCGCGACCCACAGGTTGAGAACCACTGTACTAGAGTCTGTAGAAGAGAAACACTTCAAGAGATTATGTCCATGCCCAGTCCGTGTGGCTCAGTGATTGAGTGTTGACCCATGAACCAGGAGAACATTCCGGGTCAGGGAACATGCCCAGGTTTAGGCCCGATAGGGGGCATGCAAGAGGCAGGCAATTGATGATTTTCTCTCATCACTGATGTTTCTATTTCTTTTTCTCCCTCTCCCCCTTCCTCTCTCTGAAATCAATCAAAACATAATTTTTAAAATAAGAGATTATGTCCAATAACATTAGTGGGGATACAGGAACTTTGTTTCTTGCCTATTCAGGTAGAAAGGAGCTGGAGATATAGAGAAGTCTTCCCTGAAAAGGCGGTATCTGAGCTGAGTCTTAAAAGACAAATAAAGACGAAGCAAAACAAAACAGCCATCTCCATTATTCTTTTTCATTACTTTTATGGAACATTCTTGAGACACAGTTTAGGGGTTAAGACTACATATTTTATAGCACCAGAAAGTAAAGTCTCTGCACTGCACTTGGAAACTCTGGAAAGTTATTAACCGTTCCAACTCACAATTACCTCAACTATAAATGGCATGGTAATAGTATCTACTTCATAGAGTTGTGAGGATAAAATGCCATAATGCAAGTGCAGGCTGCAGGATGAGCTCAGTAAATGCTAGCTTTTATGATGATGATGATGCCAGAAGTGCCTAATGTTAAACAAAATGTATGTTTGGTATGCAAGTGGACACACATTTTAATAAATCTATTGCAAGTATGGCTAATACCATGTCTTGCTGAACCAAATACAAAAAAATGTTACTAAATGAAAAATAGAATACTGCAACATAGTGTCAGTCAATAAAAGAATCAAGCTTTTTAAGCAAAATAAAAATATTCTCACTTACTTTTTAAAAATAAAAGTATTCATACTTAATAGTCAATAGTATTAACGGTAAAATTGTATTAGAGTACATGGTAAGATAATCTTAAAACTTAGTACATTAAGGTTTTATAGGTACAAGAGTTAAAGTTCTTGCCTTGGCCTGGAAAACTGTTATTTATATGGAATCTATAGTATTACAGTAAAATGAAAGAAAGCAGAGATTTCATTATCTATGTCCAATAAAGTCCTAGCATTTTAAGTGACAATCCAGATATGATCCATACCAACATTTTCAATCCCAAATTATTTTTAAATCAAATGAAACAAAGTATCTTTCAAAAGCCCAATATGTAAAACTGATAAATGTAAAGTTTCCTTTTTTGAGGTCAGGGAAGGTCTCCCTCTTCATCTGCACACTTTAACTCCCCAAGACCTTCACAAAAGCCAAGGACTCCAAAGAGAACAATTTAAAAACCAATCATGTAATCTAGTCTTATTTGTTTTACATACAGGGATGCTGAGTTCTAGAGAGGTGGCATTAAGTCAGTTGACTTTATGGTAGAACCAGAACTAGAACCCAGAATTCCTATCAATGCTCTTTTGTTTGTTTGATTGAAATAGCATTATGGGCTTCAGAAATCTTCACCATTGTTATTTCAAAGTTAGTAATTTTCTATTATGACCACCAAAGTCGGGTCTGCTTAGCAAAATCTTATTAGTTCTTTTTGTACTTTTATAGATAGAGAATATAAGACAAAATTTAAAAGAATATACGATTCTTCCTTTAGCCAGAAAAACAAATTTCCTATACAAGCTATTGATATTCATTGATATATCTAATACTTGTATATAACATTAACTTTCACCATAATATCTGACAATCACATGTATTAAAATGTAAACTCTATAGAGATCGGGATTTTTGTCTAAAGGATTTTGTTCACTGCTGTAAATAGGTAAAATCTCTGAGTTATAAATAATCTGTCAAATAAACTAGGAAATATTTCAACAGTAGAGTTCCCAACAATGTGTGACTAGTGTCAATGTCTGACTAGTGTTCTTTGGGGAAAAGACAATGTGTCATCTTGATCCTATCACATGACTGACTAAAATTAAACCAGCAACTAAAGGCAGAGTAACACATAATAGCAGCTTTTAGTTGATATAATACTGAATCTCAACCAAAATCACTTTTGGCGTTTAAATCTGATTTAAATATGTTGTATAAAACAAGGACCCAGAGCATAACACTAAGCAATGTGTTCACTTGTAAGTGCCATACGTGAAAGTACAAATTTGGTGCTAATACTTATCGCTTTGCTAATACCAGTGAGAACAGAAAGGCAAGGCACATCTACTCTGTGGTACAACATTTACCACTAAAATGATTCCCATGGCGGACATCACTAATTAGCCATGGTAGTCTTTCCCAGATGGCACAGATGCAGTACCAGATTCAACACAGCTCTAGGACACCACTAGATCAAGTGAAGTAGGCAGGCAAGATGAAATTTATCTGCCATTCTTGTGCTATGATATAAATATACACAGAGCATAGTAAAGGCACAAAGAGCATTCAATCCTGATCATGATGATAATGTTCTAAGATCAAGGAAATGTAACAGCTGCTATGTGAAAACAATTCTTAAGAGAACATTTTATAATAAAAATTTACTTTACAAAAAGTATTAAAAAAAAACAAAACTCACCTTGCTGACTAAGTGACTGCTCAAAAACTGACTTATAAAGGCTCCGAAATGAGGCACTGAGATCTTCAAAATTATATTCTGAGAAAAGTAGTTGTTTGTCTCTTTCTGGAAGGTTGTACTGTGGCTGCTGCTGGGGAGTTAATGACTGAGAGACTGGTTCTGGATGATTTGTCACCTATCATTAAAAGAGAATACTACTAATTTAGTAGCTCTATATCAGAATTGATTTGTTATGTAAAATACATCACTGAAAATATTAAAAGTTTTCAGAATCCAAAGGAAATATTTATTTCCCCGTCTGTGGCTTTTCCATCCTCTGTTTAAGTTGGGGGTGTACATAAAGTACAGACCACAAAATTGTTAACCTGGATCTTGAAGAACCATAGGTATTTAATCCAACCTCCATATTTCACAGAAGAGGAGAAAGTTCAAAGAAGATAAATGACTTTCTCAATACAAGTATGTGATGAACTAATAAGCCTGGACAGTTTCTGTAGCATCTTCATTTGATTTCTATAAAAACAATTTCATCTCAAACACTATATTATGAAACTACTAACATTTCTTATTCATTTATTCAATTAATATTTAAACATTTAAATTCAAATACTGTGAGTACTATGATCAGTTTTTGTGGCACTGCCCAAAACAGCAAGAAACTTTAACACATCTAAGTCATCATTTCTAGGGAAAAGTTTTTTATTAAATGAAATGAAACTGAGGGGAAATGAAAAATGAAGGATAAATGACAAAGGAGATTCTGAGAAAAACAAAATACAGGTTGTGGCAAAGGTAGATTTACAGTTGTTCGTATGGAAAATAATACAATAATCTATTCTCTATATATAAAACCCTAATATGCAAATAGACCAAACAGGGGAACTAAACAACTTGTTGCGATGACATGTGCTGACCACCAGGGTGTGCGCGCGGAACATGGTGGGAACCGGCCATGGTGGGATGGTGGAGCAGGTGAGCAGGGGCACCAAACCAAGGCAGGGCTCTGGTCGCTGTCATCAAGGCAAACCTCTGATGGTTACTGAAAATTCTTTGCTCCAGTGCACCACAGTCCCGCCAGGTGTGAGCACCTGCTGCCAATGCCAGAGCCACTGCTCATACCCGCTGCTGGCTCCTGATGCCGGCCCAGATTGCCCCCCAGGGCTTCTCCACTTCCCCCTGCTCCTAAGGGGCAATCGGGGCAGCAGCTGCCACTCGCACCTGCTGCTGGCATCGGCCCCAATAGCTGCGCTCCATCAGCAGATGCAAGCGGGGCCGGCGCCATCAGCGCGTGTGAACGGCAGGAGCGGGCCTGCCGGCAGACACGGGACCGGGGGCTGAGGCGGAAGGGGCCAGATGGGGGCGTGGAGGACGGGCCGAGACCGCCCCTGTGCCCACCGCAGCCTCGAGGCCCACAGTTCCTTTCAAGGTGCACGAATTCGTGCACTGGGCCCCTAGTTAATAAATAATAATACTAGTATAAACTGTCTCCTATATTCACAACTATAAACCTACTTTTGCCCCAACCTGTATGTAGATCAAGGGCTTGCGCTATGCAAGAGGTTGAAAAAGCACCAGAAACATGTACAAAATAAAAATTATCTTTGAAGGTAGCACAACTAGAAAAGAAAAAGGAAAAAGATCAGCTGTATCTCTTAAAGACTATATCAAGGAGTGGTAAACCACCATTTATTTAGTGAACAATGTGATTATCCTGAAACAGGGGATGATGACTGGTCTTATGAGGAGCAAATTCCCATCAACCATCCTATCTTGCCGGAGGCAGCTATGGGGCAGTTTCTTGTCGACCTTGCCATCTTGCAGCAAGTTGCTCAGAGACAGTTTCTCATCTGTCTCCCTGTTTCCAGTGAGACAGGGGACTTTCCACTTTATTCCTGTAGGGCATAGCTACAAGTTATACAACTGCTTAGCTGCAGTACAGCATTTGTTCTTCTACTTATAGTGACCCACCATATATGTAGTCTGTCATCTGGCTCCTCTAATTAGGGGTTGTCCAATGAGATGTGACACCATACTGATGCGGCTTATACTGTCTGTATGAAGAATGAAACTGTCTCTACGCATCTGGGATCTCTATGTCCTTATAAGCTCAATCTATGGATATGTGATAACTCAACCAGCAGCTGACAGTGTACTGTTGTTTAAGGAGTGCTTGATGATCAGCTTGATATCTTGTTGTTAAATGAAAAAAAGCCGTCTACAATGTCTTTCTTTTAACAGAGAAGTTAAACCTTCTTAGGCATACTGTTATAACAGACATGTCTGTTCTTACTTCTCTCTTAGTTCTATAAATGTTTTTAAGTTTTTTCCTTATTATATTTTTTGATATAATATAGGCACTCTATGCTCTTTAATTTCTTTTGGTTTCAAGATTTTCTATATTTAAATTATTTTCAAAGCTACTTAAAATCATTAAATCTTTGCACAGTTTGCTTCAATACTCCAAATAGTCCTTTAATATCATGACTTTCTCATTACAGAGTGCTTTAACTCACCTCTTGATCAGCTATAAAAAAAAATTTTTTTTTCTTCAGTAAGAGCACATGAAAGCAAGGATAGAATGTTTTGTAAGCTCTCTATAATGTCTTTCTTTTAGCTTCACATATGAATGAGAATTTGGCTGGACATTAATATTTATAATCCCAAACCTATTAACTAAAATTCTGCATAAAGTATTCCATTATCTTCTGGCATTTAGTATTAGGAAAAGAAGTATGATTTGTGTTTCTTTGAATGTATCCTATTTCTGTTCTCACAGAGTACTTATATGAATGATTACTTCTGAAATTTTAAAATCTGTCATGATGTGTTAAGGTTATAGGCTTTTTCCCCCATTAACTTTTCCAAGAACTCAGAAGCCCTTTTAATCTGTTTCTTCTAAAGATTGCTTCTGTACCAACTATTCTAGTATCTTCTTCAGGGATACTTATAATTCTCAGTTCTCCATATCTATTCCCTTCTTTCACATAACTATTCTTTCTTTATCTGCTTCTTCTGCATTATGGGAGAATACTATTTTAATTCCCCTTTTCCCCAGAGCATTGATAACAGTTTTACAGAATCACGTTTCTTTTTACCTACATTCAATAGAATTTTAATTCTGCTCTGAATTGTTTTCCTTGTGTTATTTTCTTATTTCAGTCCCCATCCCCATCCCCATTTTACATCTTTGTCCTGTATAAGTTTTTACGTATTTACTCATCCTCGTGAGTGATCTGCTACCATCAAATTTATACCAAGAAAGTGTGGTGGATGGCTCTTAGACTCTGTTCTGTCTACTGGTGAGGATAATTGCCAGATGATTAGAAAAGAAGTATCAGATAACTCAAGGGCCATGTACTTATATAATAGGTAACCAAATCAGCACAGAAGCAAGAACACTCACACAGGTCCCTTAATTGCATAGCTTTGTTTTCCAGACAAAAATTGAAATACAAGACTGGTTAAGAATTTGGTGCCAGGTTCATTCTAACCTTTGAGGTTTATAGAATCCTCTTCTCAAATCTGCAGCTGAAAAATAAGGTGATATACACAAACATCCTCTAGGCTTTTACCAAGGACTCAAATATAGCTATGCTAGACTGAGGTATAATCTTTCTTCTATTCCAACTGCTCATCACTTGGACACAGAACACATAAACCAACATATATAACATAGTACACAATCATATATTTGTATCTAACTTGGTAAAATACAAGTACCCAATTAAAACACTATCAAGGTAGAAATCTGCTCGACTTATCTAAGCTAATGAATTGATCAGTGAAAAATATACATCTTCGTTTTTTATTAGCATTTCAATTACTTTTGGTTTAGTGTTAAGCATTACATGAGTACTCAACAAAGAAGTTAACCTCATCAAGACTTACCGGTGTATAACTATGCACACTTCCAACACTATTCAAATTAACAGATGCCAAACTCTGGTCTGAGAGACTGTTGTTAAGGCTACTGCGTGGACTATCACTACCATCCTGATCAGTGTTGTACAATGTTACCTAGATTGAAAAGAAAAGCAACATTTGAGTAAGTAGTTCCTACTATAAAGAGTATTTTTTAAGCAACTCTACAAAAGTACAACTAGCTGGAATATGGAATAAAAATAAAATGTTAGTGGTCTTTTCTTTGGTGCCCTACCTACCCCAATTCCATGCCCTTCACTGCTAACTCTATGTTCACTATGAAATAATTTACTCTCAAACTACAGGACATATCCTATCCAGAGATACATAAATTCAATTTACTATCAGGTACAATTAGTTCATCAACTTTTGGTAAGGGGATTACAGTAGACTTTAAATATTTCTACAATGCATAAATTTATTTTTATTCAAGCTTTAGCAAAACTCCTGTTCTCTATCATAATCTTAGGCATCAAAAAAAGAACACAAAAAATAGAATTTTAAAAAATCAGATATCAATGTTTATAATACTGAAAATTGGACACTCAACTATCTAACACATTTGTAAAATCATAGGTATATAATCTAATTTTTTAAAGTAATAATAATAATATGCTAATATATAGTGGGCAAAAGTAGGTTTATAGTTGTTCATATGGAAAATTATACAATAATTAATAAGCAATAATACAAGAATAAACTGTTTCATATACTCATAACTGTAAACCTACTATTTCCCACCCTGTATATATGCATTAGACATTGTTAACATTGTTATCACACTGTTAACAATGGTTAACTAGTAGGAGCTGGGTATTCCTGAAGACTTTATCACAGATAGTATGTATTTTTACAATGCTCAAGTTTGTTAATAATAAGCATAATTTTTAACTAGAAATAAACAAAAAAGATTTTAAAAGTAGCCTAACTAGTCTTCCTTCAAGGTTCTATTCAGATGCCACTACTAACTTTCCTTTCTACGGTCTCACTTCTGTGGGAAAAATTAATACACTGGCTTTACAGTCTCACTAATTTTTATCATTTTTTTATCTATTACTAGACTGTTAGCTCCTTGAGTCACCAATAAGTAATCATACACAGTATAGTGCTTTCTGCTCAGTATACAATTAATAAATATTTGCTGAATTTAATACCCAATTGGGCTATACTATTTTTCTGTCTGTGCAAAAAGCAGTCATGCTCAATGCTCACAAACATTTGCCAAAAAAGGCTGAATATGTTGAAAACTAGGCATATATGCTTCTACACTTAAGGCAAAACAAAACTGTCCCATATTCAAATTCATATCAGCAGGGAACAATTATGTGTCTAGAAACTAATAAGGAAGAAGAGTACAGAAGTCCCCCCTTAACCAGTTTCAGTTACCCACAGTCAACCACGGCCCAAAAATATTAAATGGAGAATTCCAGAAGTAAACAATTCATGAGTTTTAAATTGCGCATTGTTGTGAGTAGCACGATGAAATCTTGAGCTGTCCTGCTCTGTCCCATCTGGGAGGTGAATCATCCCTTTGTCCAACATATCCGCATGGTGCATACAGTACAGTAAGACATTTTGAGAGATCACATTTATATAACTCTATTCCAGTATCCTATATAATAAAAGGCTAAGATACAAATAGACCTAACGGCGGAACAACTGAACAACCGGTCACTATGACGTGCGCTGACCACCAGGGGACGCGCGAAACATGGCTGGTGTCAGCTGCAGCGTGATGGTGGAGCAGGTGAGCGGGGGCACCAGACCAAAGTGGGGCACTGGTCGCTGTCATAGAGGCGAGCCTCTGGTGGTTACTGAAAAGTCTTTGCTCCCACGCGCAGGGGTCCCGCCTGGCGCTCACACCCACTGCCAGCGCCAGCCCCGATCACCCCTCAGGGTTTCTCTACCTCCCTCTGTTCCTGAGGGGTGAGTGGGCCGGCCACGCTTGTACCCGTTGCCGGTGCACGGCGCCAGTCCCAATCACTGGGCACTGTCAGCTGGTGCGAGTAGCAGCTGCTGGCCCCAATCACCCCTGAGGACTTCTCCACCTCCCCCTGCTCCTAAGGGGCGATTGGGGCAGCAGCCGCCACTCGCACCCAGTGACAGCGCCGGCCCCGCTCACATCTGCTGCTGGCACCGGCCCCAATTGCTCCATGCCTGCCCCAACCCAATCGCTCTGCGCTGTCAGTGGGTGCGAGCAGGGCTGGGGACAGTGCCATCAGCGCATATGAGCAGCAGGAAAGGGGCTGCCAGCAGAGGATCGGGGGCTGCGGCATAAGGGGCCGAATGGGGGCGCAGAGGATGGGCTGAGACCGCCCGTGCCCACCATAGCCTCGTGGCCCACAGTTCCTTTCAAGGTGCACGAATTCATGCACTGGGCCCCTAGTTTTTAATAAAAATCCGAAGTGTGTGGCAGTGCAGAATACCCAGTAGTTAAAAGGCACCGCCTTGATTTGTGCTCCTTTGAAGTTGCCTAGTTTTTTTTTCCTCTGATTTTCTAAAAATATTTTTTTTATTGATTTCAGAGAGGAAAGGAGAGGGAGAGAGAGATAGAAACATCAATGAAGGAAGAGAATCACTGATCGGCTGCCTCCCACATGCCCCCTACTGGGGACCTGGGCATGTGCCCTGACTAGGAATCAAACCATGATCTCCTGGTTCTTAGGTCCACGCCCAACCACTGAGCAATGCCGGCGGGCTCAGTTATTATTTCATTTTAGCTCTATAGTTTCCTCTTCATGGTTCCATACTGATTGCAATTCTCTAATAAATTTTCTGTAATTCATCTATATTCTTGGACATATTAGTTATTTAAAAGTCATTATCTAGATCACTTGTGGATGTTTACATTGTTCCCCCCTCTCTTGGTATTGAATTATTTGGTCCTTTGTCCTGAAGTGTCTAGAAATTTTGATTGAAGGTGAGACCTTACTTATGAAAACTTGCAAAAGCTAGGGGTGATGTCATCTTCTTACAAAAAGATTTTTTCTTTCTTTTTTTTTTTTTTTGGCAAGTAGAAGAATATTAGCATACCATTCTAATAACAAATTTGAGCCTGGTCTATTTTGATTTGCTCTTACTCACAGAACATAACCTTTCTGACGTATCAACTTGGAAGCCTGGGTGTTTAAGATGGCCCACTCCATTTTAAAGGTCCACAAACTATAATTTTTGTCTACCCCTTCTCTGTAAGGTTGCTGAATTCTGGCTAGTGAAAAAATCTATTTGTCTGAGCCCAAGCACATGCAGGTTAGGAGTTAGCAGATGCCTTAAGTGGATGTTGCTTGCAAAAACATTAGCTTACTTCTGAGATTTCTCAGGATCTTAGCCTCAAACCCTGTTTGGTAGCCCCAAACTTGTTTTTTTCTCCCTAGCTCAATGACTGCTCTAGGCTGCTTTCTATTTAGCCTCTATGTCATACACTGAGAATTGGGAAATGTCTCAAGGGAAAATTTGCAGGACTAATCTCAATGTGTTTCCCTTTTTTCTGGGATCCTGGATGATGAAGTCTTGGTTGTTTCGTTCTCCAATGCCTCCCCCCTCTTTTTGGTGGGGGTGGTATTTTTATATAGACAGGCAGAAGGGTTAAACTGATTCTAGTTATTCAATCATATCTGGAAGCCAAAGTCCAAAAACTGCAGCTACTTTGATTCCCATATTATTTAGTCATGAAGACCTAGAATTACTATTTTCTAATTGTTTCCTAGTAGCCACAACTATCTATGTTTAGGCCTCACTATCTCCTACTTGGACTACTGCAAAGACCAGTATTGGATATTTCTGATTCCAACCCATCTGCTTTACCAGAAATTCTCAAGTCTAGCTGGGTATCATTAGGGATGATTTTTGAAAGTACAGTTTCCTGGGCCCTATCCACAAGGATAGTAACTTATTTGATAGGCCTATAATGGAAACTGGGAATTCCATCCTCCCCGCCCCACCCCTACACACCTCTCCTAAGTGATTCTGATGAAATTATTCCATAGATTGATATTTGGGGAAAAATCATTACTTTACATCTCAGCTGCTAGTTTCCTTTCTAAGTTGGAAATCTGATTAGTCTCTCTGATTATATAATGTCTTCTGTTTATTCATCTTTCTACAAATAAAAATTCCTATGTATACTAAATTAGTGCGATGTGTACATGTACTATATGTGTTTATGCATGTCATGAGTGAGTGGAAGAGTGAGAGACGGAGATAAAGAAAGAACAAGTGAAGCACCAGAGAGAAGATGGTGATAGCAAGACTAAAAGAATATGAGCATGAGTGTGAGAAATGTATGGCTTCAAGGTGCTTATGGTCTAGTAAGGGAGGAAACAGATGCACACATATGACTGAGTTACTTCATGAACCTCCAGAGCCTTTTTAGGGTTTTGAGATATAAGATTTAATAATTACCTTGTAAAGAAGAGACATCTGTATCCCACTACGTAGCTAATGAGTTGGCACAAAGTTTTTACTCTTTGTTTCAAAAAAAAAAAAAGGAAAAAGAAAAATGCAGCAAACTACCACATACTATTTTCTGGGTATGTTAGTAAACTCAAACATCTTAAAACAGGTTGATCACCATTCCAATGAACTTTATGAGTTTGTCTAAATTATTTATTTTGATTTGTTGACTCTCTGGGAATTTGACAATCTTTTTTTCATATATTTAGAGGGGTAGTCAATGATTTTGAAACAAATTGATACAATAAAATGTTGACTCAAAAATTCTACCAATGAGAACTGGCAGTATCAAGAATTTCATATAGAACTTCCCAATAAGCATCTTCCAATTTCTCCAGAGAAATATTTTCTTCTAATTTGTAGAAGAACACTGTAGATTCAGCTTTCAAGCTGACAAATTTATATCATCTTTAAATTCAACCATATAAAATTCTATTGTTATTATAAAGGCAAATTAAATGTATTACTCAATGACATTTCAAAAGTGGTTTTTAAAATGTAATTACTTTGTTAGTCACAGTGTTGATTGCCAGAGTTGGAGAGGCACTTCCCGAAATAATACACTCCATTCCCAAAGAATCTGAATCTATGCTATATGGAGTTGAGGCCTAAAATACAAGAACAAAATAAATAATTATTAGCTTATATATCAAGCAACTTTAATACAATTTGAAGGTATGTCATCAAATTCTCCAGCATTCAGTTTTGTACTTTCTGAAAATGAACTTAAACAACTAAGGAACAATGGAAAGACAAGAGTAGAAGAAACATGGACATCCAAATGATCTTGTGGAACAGAGCTGGTTATCCATTTGATCCACTATCAGCTTGGACTTTTACCTGAGAGAAATAAAACCTCTCTGGTTTAAGCCTCTCCGGGTTTTTTTCTTCCTTTGTTAGTGCAATCAAACAATATCCTAAATATCGCAACTTCATATACACTGTTTATGAAACCAGGATGAATGTGAAAATCAATATAGATGGTTGTCTACATTTAAAATTTTGGATATTGTGACAACTCCTCTCTCCCTCCCCGCCCCCTCTCTCTCCTCTCTTCCTCCACCCCTCTCTCTCTCTCTTTTTCTCTCTCTCTTCTCTCCCTTCTCCTTCTCCCTCCGTTCCCCTCCCCTCTCTCTTTCTCTCTCTCAATAGACAGTTTTTACTGCTTTGGTGAGCCCTCAAGAGTTTTCAACTTCAATGCTGAAAGTTAAAGAAGGACAGATATTAACAATTTGTGGCTATGATGTTAGTTCTATGGACATTCCCTCTCCGGCAAAAAATATTTGTCCCACACATGACCCAATCGAACATTTATTTTTAAAATATATTGGATGAGAAAGAGCAACTTCACTGAGACACATTTCTAAGATTAATCTACTCATCACTTAATTCCTCAGCATAAATTTTTTTCGTCTGATAATCTACAAAGGTAGGGAACAGGCTTCTTGAATGAAATGAGAAAGGGAAAGACAAAGGTCACCCTAGAAGGTAGAATCTAGCACTTACTACTAGTAGGTGCTGGGTACACATTGAGAGTGAGGTGAAAATTGAAAAGGGCTTCAGAAATACCAGTAGAAGAACTATAAATATGCCTTAATTTTGGTGCCAGCCAACTTAGCTATACCTAAATTAACGTAACATTACTTTAGAAAGTTACAAATCTCATGTTCCTCTACTTCAACTGAATCATCGCAGTCCAGACTACTGTTTCACTATTTAATTCTCACTAATACCTACTGGTAGGAGGAAACAAACCTATGTTGTGTGATTTCGTGCAAACTGCTCAACCTTTACATATTTATTAAGACTGGTTTTGTAGCTCAACATGTGCTATATCTTGGTGAATGTCTGTGTGTACTTGAAAAAAAAAATAGGTATTCTATAGTTGTTTGGTATAGTGTTCTCTAATATCAATTAGATCAAGGCATTTGATAATGTATTCCAATGTTCTTTAATTTTTTAAAATTGATTTTAGAAAGAGGAAGGGAAAAGGAGAGAGTGATAGAAACATCAATGAGAGAGAATCATTGATCAGCTGTCTCCTGCACGCCCCCTACTGGGGGATCAAGCCGGCAACCTGGGCAATTGCCTGGACCGGGATTCAAACCATCATGACCTCCTGGTTCATGGGACACTGAGTCACAGCCACCTACTGATTTTTATTTATCAGCTTTGCTTCATGTATTTTGAAGCTCAGTTGTTAGTCACATTCCCATTTACAATTGCTATGTCTTCATCAATAATTCCTTTATCAAATGTTTTTAAATTTCTAATATACTGTCTTAAAAAGTCTGTTTTAGCCCTGACCGGTTTGGCTCAGTGGACTGAGCATCGGCCTGTGGACTCAAGGGTCCCGGGTTCGATTCCAGTCAAGGGCACGTACCTTGGTTGCAGGCACATCCCCAGTGGGGAGTGTGCAGGAGGCAGCTGATCGATGTTTCTCTCTCATCGATGTTTCTAACTCTCTTTCCCTCTCCCTTCCTCTCTGTAAAAAAAAAAATCAATAAAATATATATATATGTTTTTTTAAAAAGTCTGTTTTATATTATATTAACCCATTGTACACCATAAGCATCTGTAGATGCAAGCGGCAGACCTCCCCCACCCACATCTATAAAAAAGAAATGTTTTCCCTAAGTGGCAGCCCTGACCAACTTTATAATCATTTTTCGTGAGAATTTTCAACGGAAAATATTCAAGAACACCCGAATTGTGAGTAATATATTTATTTTTATAATATTCATTGCAAATTGATTTTTTAAATTAAATTCAAAATATCTTGGTGTGTGGGGATGGTTTCCGTTTTGGACACATGGTAGTTAACTGGTTAATATAGTCACTGCACCCTTATGCTTACTATTTGTATGGCATATATTTTTCCATGCATTACTTTCAACTCATCTGTATCTGAAGTCATGACTCTTGTAGGCCGCATTTAGCTGAGTCTGCTTTTTTAGCATCTTTAACAATCTCTGCTGTTTTACTGGCATGTTTAGACCATTAGCATTTATGTAATTGTTGGTACTGTTAGATTTGGATCTAAATTGTTTTCTTTTTCATCTCTATGTTTTTATCCTTTCTTCCACCCTTTTAGATTTAGATATATTTTAGTATTCTAATTTATCTATTGGCTTTTTAGGTATACCTCAAACTAGGTATTAAAGAATGTGCTCAATCTGAAAAAGAGCATCTACAGAAGCCCCACAGCTTATGTCATACTTAGGGGTGAAAGACTAAACCAGGGGTCCTCAAACTTTTTAAACAGGGGGCCAGTTCACTGTCCCTCAGACAGTTGGAGGGCCGGACTATAGTTTAAAAAAAAACTATGAACAAATTCCTATGCACACTGCACATACCTTATTTTGAAGTAAAAAAACAAAACGGGAACAAATACAATGTTTGTATTTGCATGTGGCCTGCAGGCCGTAGTTTGAGGACCCCTGGCACTAAACACTTTTCCCTTATGAATGAAAAAAAGGCAAGGATGCCCACTTCACCACTCCTATTCAACCCTGTACTGGAGAGTCTAGTCACTGTGGGAAGACACAGGGGAGAGGAAAGTGAGGGACAGAAAAACTCTATTTGCAGGTGATAACTGTTTATATAGAAACTCCCAAGGCATCTTCAAAACAACTACTAGAACTAAGTGATTATAGAATACAAGGTTAATATAAAAAAATCAATTACATTTTTATATACTAGCAGCAGGCATTTCGAAAATTATTTTTTTAAAAAGTATATAGCATCCAAAAACAAAATATTCAGGATTAAGTCTAATGGAAACATCCAAGTTCTCTACACTGAAAACTAAAAACATTCCTCAGAGGAATTATAGACCTCATGAATGGAGAGATAGTATGTTTATGTTTTCATAGCTTGGAATAATCAATACTGCTAAGATGTCAATTCTCCCCAGATCAGGACTGCCTGGGATAAGAATGGAAGAAGGCATAAATTACTAAAGGACATGAGAAAAGTTGGGGAATGATGGAAATGTTCATTTGACAATGGTGATAATTTCACATATCAAAACTCCTCAAATTATAAGCTTTAAATATTCAATTAACTGTACATAAACTATCTCTAAGTATTGTTTAAAAAAAGAAAACTAAATCCTACCCATTCATAAAAATAAAAATGACCTCTCATGGAAAGAAAACTTCCTGGTCTACATCTCTAATTTAATAGGATTTCTCTTAACTTGAAAATTCCCAGAAAATTCTATTTACACATATCTCTTGGAGGCAACATGTAGTGCCTCCCACCCATGTACACCCAGTACATGTTTGCCAATTTGAAATAAATGCTTTTTCCACTCTGCGAGTTCTAAGAGTAGAATGTAGTTTGCATTCCTTCCTTTGCTCACTTATACCTTTAACACTCATTCAGACTCAGCCTCAGAGAAGGAAAGCACACAGTGGGGCATCATTTAATCCACAAAAAAACACTCTGAATAATAATGGAAAAAACTGAGACACAAATAGCACAAAGACAATAATCTCAAACATACAGCAAGATGCAGAGTATTCTGCCTAGAAGAATATTCTCTTTTCTATTTATCCATCCATCCTCCCATTATCTTCCTGATTAAACTTGTAATCATCTTTGAACTATAACACACACTAAAAGAAAAAATGTGTATCCTCCCATCTTTGTTCCAATAAAAGCTGGAAAATTGGAGATTATGTGTTCTTTACAGGGTCAATATGTTTACGATAGTAAGTTTATATAGGTATCTGGCCTTTAACTCCTCAAATAATGCCTACACAATGTATTAGAAGATTTAAGCAAAACTGTCCACGGCAATTTCCCCTTGCTCTCCCTGCTTCTACCCCACACAGCATCTAAAGTAATCTCGTTAAAATGTAAATCACATTATGTCACTACTTTGCTTATGTCCCTTCAATGGCTTTCCACCTCCCTCAAAATAAAGCCCAAGTCCTTTACAATGGCATAAAAGGCCCTACCCAATCTTCCTCCTGCTCCTACTGCTTACTTCTCTAATGTCAAGTCCTATTACTCTTCCCTCCTCACACATACTAGTCCAATGGTCAGCAAACTGCGGCTCGCGAGCCACATGCGGCTCTTTGGCCCCTTGAGTGTGGCTCTTCCACAAAATACCGACTTCTGTGCATGGGCCACGAAGTTTCAATTGCACTGTACATGCGCGCCCGCACGTGGTATTTTGTGGAAGAGCCACACTGAAGGGGCCAAAGAGCCGCATGTGGCTCGTGAGCCGCGGTTTGCCGACCACTGTACTAGTCTGTTCACAGTGGCCTCTTGTCTTCATGCCAAGTATGTTTCTACCTCAGAGCCTTTGTACTTGTGGAATTTCAGAAGAGAGATTCCCAGACCTATATAGCTAGCAATCCACTCATATTTACATATAAAGAAACTATGGCCAGAAAAATTAAACATCTAAGTTATAACAAATAACTTTAAAACTAGATCTCCTAACTTCCAGGCTATAAGTATTTCCCCTAAATCTTATACTTAAAATAAAAGTGATACCTCATGACTTTGTAACATGACTTGGTTTTGCTCATAATTTTACTATGTTCTTAAACTAACAGAGGCACTTCAGATCATTAAATGCTGATAAAATATA